CAAGACAATAATGAATCACCCCTTATGCCACCTATAGAACAAACTCAACAAACTCAAGAAGTGCCATTAAGGAGATCCACTAGGGAAAGGAGAAATGCAATTCCGGATGATTATATTGTGTTTCTTCAAGAGCATGAAAATATTTTAAGCTTGAAGGAAGATGATCCAATCAACTTCCAACAAGTCTTAGAAAGCTCTAATGCTCATAAATGGATTGATGCCATGAAAGATGAGATGCAATCTATGAAAGACAACGACGTTTGGGATCTTATTGAGTTGCCTAAAGGTGCGAAACCCATTGGTTGTAAATGGATATTTAAAACCAAAAGGGATTCAAATGACAACATCGAAAGATATAAGGCACGTCTAGTTGCTAGAGGTTTCACTCAGAAAGAAAGCATAGACTATAAAGCGACTTTCTCTCCGGTTTCTACGAAGGACTCCTTTAGGACAATAATGGCGCTTGTGGCTCATTTGGATTTGAAGCTACATCAGATGGACGTAAAGACATCGTTTCTCAATGGCAACATTGATGAGACAATTTATATGGTGCAACCAGAAAACTTTGTATTGGGAGATTCAAAGTCTATGGTTTGCAAATTGAAAAAGTCCATCTTTGGCCTTAAGCAAGCTTCTCGTCAATGGTACCACAAGTTCCATCAGGTTATTATCTCCTATGGCTTTGAGGTGAACTTAGTGGAAGATTGTGTGTATCACAAGTTCAGTGGGAGTAAATTCATATTCCTGATACTATATGATGATGATATCTTACTTGCCAGTAGCGATATAGGCTTATTGCATGGAACCAAGAAACTTCTCACTAAAGATTTTGAGATGAAGGACCTTGGTGATGCATCTTTTGTCTTAGGAATACAGATACTTCGAGATCGCGCTCAAGGTATCCTACGGTTATCACAAAAGGCCTACATTGAAAAGATTTTGTATAGATTTGGCATGAAGGATTGTACGTCAGGAGATACGCCCATATCTAGGGGAGACAAGTTTAGTCTTGCCCAATGCCCTAAAGGTAAGCTTGAGATGATAGAAATGACAAAGGTACCTTATGCTTCGGCAGCAGGAAGCCTTATGTATGCCCAGGTTTGTACTCGCCCTGATATAGCATTTATAGTGGGAGTGTTAGGAAGATACTTGAGCAATCCTGGAATGGATCATTGGAAAGCAGCCAAGAGGGTTATGCGGTATTTAAAGAGAATTAAAGACTATATGCTTACATATCGGAGGTCAGATGAATTAGAGATCGTCGAATATACTGACTCTGATTTTGCTGGATGCCAAGATAGTAAAAGATCCACGTCAGGTTATGTCTACATGTTGGCTGGAGGAGCTATTTCTTGGAAGAGTGTTAAACAGATACTCGTAGCTTCCTCTACTATGGCCGCTGAATTTGTAGCTTGTTTTGAGGCATCCAACCATCGGGTATGGCTGCGAAACCTTGTCACAGGGCTGCATATAGTTAGTGGTGTGGAAAGGCCACTGAAGATTTATTGTGACAATAGGTCAGCAGTGTTGTACTCCAACAACAACAGAAGCTCTTCAAAATCGAAGCACATCGATATAAAGTTTCTGGTTGTTAAAGAAAGAGTTCAGAGTGGTCAGATTTCCATAGAACACATAGGGACGAACTCCATGCTTGCGGATCCGCTTACTAAAGGCTTAGTGCCTAAGGTCTTTCACGAGCATACTGCTCATATGGGTGTTGTTTTGTTCGATGACACTACGGTTTAGTGGGAGTTCTTTATGTTAGTGTTCTATGAAGATTAAATTTTCTGCAGAATAAAGAATTCAATGTTATTTTCCCTCTGAATGTATTAAATTTTGTGCTTGTATTTCTGCTTTGTGTATGCAGAAAATTTAGGATTGATCTCATAAAGATTAAAGTAGGACCAGTTGGAAATAGGCATGGTAAGATCACATTGCATGTAATTTCCATGCCACTCATCCATACTTGATCTATGTCATTGAATATATTGGTGCGATGACCATGGAAGGTTTAGTTACGCTTGAAAGTGACAAAAGCCGCTATGATCTCATATTGATATAGGAGGTGGACCAGATTGTATCTAAGGAGGAATCTAAAGAAAAATAGCATAGAGTTGCACACTAAAGATATATGATATAATTATCTCAAGTTAATATGTGGTCCAAGTGGGAGATTGTTAGAAAATTATATTTTCTAATAATTATTGTGGGTCACATATTATATTAATAATTATATTGTGCTATTTATATATATTGGGTAAATTAAAGTGATCAGGTAAATATTCCCAAATAGATTCCTAAGTGAGTATGGGCTGAATGAGTGGATACCGGTGTTGGGCCAACTAGGTATAATAGGAGCTTATTGGCCCAACAATAAAAATAAAAATACTATAAAGGGTTATGGTTCCCAAGACGTCAAATTAACAACCCTAGTTTCTCTTCCCCATCAAGAGAGAGACGGCACACTAAGGAATAAGGTTTTAGGGTTGACTGAACTACAAACCCCAAGAGACAAGATCAAAGTTATTCTGCTGCAATGGAGACAGGTATTCCTCCACCTTTATGTTGTTCGTATTTTTCTTTATGATTTGGTACGATGGATCTTGGCTTGTGGGTGATAGTTATCACCATAAAATTTAGAGGAATTAAAAATTCCAACACCGTGAACTGTAAATTTTTGTACTTACAAGTTACAATGGAGGGTCCTATTTAATTGGAAAACCAATGTATCTGTGTGTTTTTCTCTGAGTTATTTGATCATCAAGTGTGATACGTAAGCATAAAACGGGGAAAAATAAAAATAAAAATAAGATAGCTCTTATATATTGGTTTTGCTAAGATTCCATCGTCCTTTTGGTTGAGGGTAGTTCCACATGCTTTTTTTGGAATAGTTCTGCCTCGTAACTGATCATGATGTTTTGTTTTAACCAAGAGAAAAGCCTCGACGTCAAGGATCAGGGAAGAAGGATAAGAGTGAGTGATACTATACGATAGGAGGTTGCTGTGACCAAACCCCACACTATTTATGTTGATCACATGCACATATATTTCCTCTTGGTCCCCGCCCTTTTACAAAAATCCTTATTATAGAGGAAAGACACCTAAGGTACTTCGTTAGAGTATTTGACCATTCGATATTTTGGTCCAAATGAACCAACATAAGAGAGTGATAAAACTGTTTAATAGAAACCTCAATGATTATTAATTAGTCATAATTCATAAATGAACTAGAATCTCAGGACAATAATACTGTCGGGATTATATGTTTTATCCGTGATTACTTTTTTTTCCTTTCTTCTATATCTCTGCATAACTTAGTTGTTTTGCAAAGAATATGTGATTTCCATTAAGCATGTCCGAGATTTAATTTTACACAGGTTAATGACATTGTTTTCGTACATAAAAAACTGGTCTACACATGGATCTCTGAGATTTTTGGACATATCTTTGCTGATTTTTAATACGTGCATGGAAAGTAGCAGACAGTACGTCATATAAGCTATTGTAGTATTTCTGATTAAACTACGAAAATCAAGAAACTTTATTTGAATCCCGATTAAAAGACCAATTATAATCACTTTAGTACCCCTTGAAGTAAACTCGAAACAGAAACTGATCATAATTAGCCCGACATGTCCTTGTGAGATTAATCAATTAATTAGAAGCTTCACGAGATTCAAGTCAAGTACCTTGAGGCATGTGGCGTACAGAAGTGGGGTCAGTTTCAAATGATATTGCAATAAACAAGTTCCAGATCTAGCTTGACAGTGAAGCTGGCAGAGCATAACTCTGGCATAATACCATTTATATCAGCACACTTTGACATCAGCTGCTTTGGATCTAACCCAATATTAAATATAATTATTTAGCTACTGTCTAATAATCTTGGGTAAGCATTTGTTTACAAATTTTTTTTGAAATTTTTTACAAATTACACTATGTTCTTCCGGAAGAACATAGTGTAATCAGTGTTCTCCCGGGAGAACATAGTATAATTTGTAAATAAAAAAAATTGTAAACAGTCATTTATTGATGTTTAGTAATTTGTCAATGCTGCTGCTATTGTGTAAAGAATCAGCTTAAATTGTCAAGTGATTTTAAATTTAATGATTTTATATTTCTCTAACACGTCCCTTACATGGAGAGCTCATTAGACGCAAAATGTGTATAATGTATTGACGCACCTATTTGTGCTAAGAAATTCTACAATACTTAATTATTTATTAATTGAATGAGTATTAGTAAGAATTGAAATCGTGACCACTTGGTCACAAAGGAGGTTATGATATTATAGAACAAAATCAATCCAAAAGTTCAAGGTGGTGGGTAAGGCTCCATTATTTTATATATCTCTACCGTATTGCATGATAGCGCAGCATACGTACGAACACTACTATCGCCTAAAACACACTGGGATGTAACATTGATATTTTACACTCAAAAGTAATTATAATCCATGATAAACTGAACAGAACACACAATCCTGTTGTCGAATTGCTCTGATATTATAAATGCAATGGTCGTTTATTAACCGAGGAATGTTATTTCCATACTCTGAGAAAGCGCCTCTTGAATTAAAGAATTTTTTTTTTAGGAAACAAATTCTTTATCACTTGAACAAATGATTATTAATGTTTGCTTGTGGTTTTAATTACGTATCACTCTCTCATTTTTTACCGTGCCATATAAGCGGCTAGTAATGAGTAACAGTGGGGGTTGGCGGACCCCAAATGTTCTGTTCATTTGATACGAAGAATGATATCTTTTGGAATCTGAGGGAAAAAGTCACACATCATCTTGAACAACCAACCAGAGCAATTATTTGAGGTACTTGCCTCTTATTGTTTCGACGGTTGCTTTAAACTTGGAGAGGTGGTAGAAGAAGACATTTATGCATGTGGTCCACACCACAGAGATCAACCTCTCAGACCTTATATAAAGCCCTTCCCAAACCACCAGTTACTTGTCACACAGAGAATCAAACAACAACATTCATTCATACATAGTCATGGCTAGTTGTTTAGTGTTTGGCTGTTGTATAATACTCACATGCTTGTTTATGGTTGTGAGTTTTGCTTCTGCTCAATCAACGCGGGCATTCTTCGTTTTTGGTGATTCACTTGTAGACAGTGGCAACAATGATTTCTTGGCTACAACTGCACGTGCTGACAATCCCCCTTATGGCATTGATTTCCCAACACATAAACCCACTGGACGCTTTTCTAATGGCCTAAACATCCCTGACTTAATCAGTATGATACGTTTGTCTCATATTTGCTAATTAGTCAAAATGCTTAAGTAATAATGATTCTTTGGTTCTAGACTTCTAGTGTCCCATTTGCATGCATGGCTTAAAGCTGGGAATGGTTCATGTATGTGAGGCTGTAAAATGGTTAATTGCATGCAGGTGAGCAACTTGGCTTAGAGCCTACGCTACCGTATTTGAGCCCTCTACTAGTTGGAGAGAAGCTTCTAGTTGGTGCTAATTTTGCGTCCGCGGGGATTGGTATTCTCAATGATACGGGATTTCAATTTGTAAGCTCACTTAGCTGTTAATTTAATTCATTATGTATTCTAAGTGCGAGAATTTTATATACATGTATGATGAAGCACATATATACAGAGTGCAAAAGCTGGTAGTAGCTTATGCAATTGTTTTGGCAGCTGCACATCATCCACATCTACAAGCAACTGAAGCTATTCCAACATTACCAACAAAGGTTAAGTGCACATATTGGTGCGGAGGGAGCTCGGATTCTAGTAAACAGAGCATTGGTCCTCATCACCCTTGGAGGCAACGATTTTGTTAATAATTATTACTTGGTCCCCTATTCAGCAAGATCTCGCCAATTTTCTCTCCCAGACTACGTGCGCTATCTCATGTCTGAGTACCGCCCAATTCTTAGGGTATTAATTTCCCATTAAATACTATCTTTTTGAGGTTGCAGTTTGTTAAAATTAAATAACATAGAGATATTTAGTTTAAAGACTAATGGACCTATCAAATTAATGGTCATGGTCATTGTCATGTCTCAATGCACGAGACATGTAAAATTTGATTGGTGAATCATGTTAAAATTGTGTTTTTGTTGCAAACAAAAGTGGCTACACTTGGCTAAGGGTTTCACTCACACTCCATATGGGCGTTGGTTCAAATTCAGTTGCCAATATGAAGACTTTATTAGTAGATGATATATAATTCCTTCCAAAAATTCTTAAAGAATTTGAGGATTCTTTCCTGACCTTGATAAAATACTGATGTCTAACCCACTTAAACTTTTTTAGTTACAATTTTTATTTTTATTTTTTGTCCTTATTCAATGCAGTTTCTAAGATTCATTCATTAGATAATAATATTATTTGGTTATTAATGTATATATATAATTAACGGATGCAGAGGCTTTATGATTTGGGAGCTCGTAGGGTTCTTGTAACGGGTACGGGACCAATGGGGTGTGTGCCGGCAGAGTTAGCCATGAGAAGTATAAATGGTGATTGTGACGCGGAACTTCAGAGAGCTGCGTCCTTATATAATCCACAACTTGCTGAAATGACAAATGGACTCAACAAAGAGATTGGCGCGGATGTGTTCGTTGCTGCTAATTCATATCAAATGCACATGGATTTCGTTTCCAACCCTCAAGCTTTTGGTACGTCCTGACTCCTGCATTATTGCTTAATGACTAAATTATGCACAAGCTAGGCCTAGGTCCTTTAGATTTAATTTATTGTTTTATTTTAGGCTCAATTTCTCCCTTGTAATTGTTTTTGACCACTTTTATTATGGATATGGGCCTAACAGGATTTGTTACATCAAAGATAGCTTGCTGTGGGCAAGGCCCGTACAATGGGATTGGACTCTGCACACCCCTTTCAAACTTGTGCCCAAATCGAGACCTATACGCGTTTTGGGATCCATTCCACCCATCGGAGAAAGCTAGCCGAATCATAGTCCAACAGATCCTGACTGGCTCCAACCAATACATGCACCCCATGAATCTTAGCACCATCATGGCCTTAGATTCCATTGTTTGATTGATACATTACAGCCTTAGATTCTAGCTTTCTCCTCCTTGTAGTTACCACAAGATATGTATGTGAAGCCGTATTCTATATATGTGCCCCTAAGTTTTGCCCATCTTCTGATGATGATCTCCTTGTGGTTCGAAAAGTTTTATGCTGGTTTGTCCCCTAAATTGCTATTGGTCTATTACCAGTAATAAGATGTCGTTTTCCTTTGATTGCACCGGTTTTAGAACATATTTTTTAGACAACATTGGGGAATAGTAATTGTGATTGTGGCTTAAAGCTTTATGGACTACGTAAAAATATTGTAAAATTCAAATCAATGTGTAAATCACTATTGTGCGCTTTGGCACGTGAAATGGTGGATAATGCACGCGATGAACAGCCCGTCATAGGGAATTACGTAATTAAAATTTTTCATAAGAAAGAGTGAGTGGGTATGAGCACAATGTGCGTCACAATTCCAAATGCATTTACGAGCGTACCAAACTCAGGCGTTGGCAACTTCAGAGCATAACTTTCAATAAACAGGGGTATAGGCAAGATTGATCAGTCTCTTACTGTGTTATTTACTCGGTTTCTCTTTGTCATTTCTTGCCCTACCTTGTATCAAATGCGAATGCATATTTGTAGTAAATCACACACTGACTTGCAAATTTGACCTCAATCCATGTTCTGCTTTACAATGAAAGCGAAGCAAAGAAATTAACGGGGAATAACTTTGATCAGTCCAATACAATATGGGCAGACCAATGTGTATCGGGTCTAATCACACACCGTTAAAGAAAGAAAACTTTCAGTTGGGTTATCTACTTCTTGGGCTGATGATAGCTGTTAGGTGGAAGGTTGATGCGGTTCTCCTTAATTTGGCGCGATGACTCTGGCCGGGAGTACTTACAATGACACTCTGACGCTCAAGTTAGTATCAAAGCTAGGTTTATGTTGTATTTTTACTGAAATTAGATAGATGTACCTGGGTGTGTACCCCTTGTTTATATAGTGAATCTGATACCGCCTCCGGTAGGCGATATGTCTTCTCATTGGCCGTTTATGGGCTGTAGATTTATCTATTCTCAGCTGGTGTCTTTCACGTTATGCCTCTATATTTCAAGCTACCTTTGTAGAGTCGAGGCAAACTGGTGCTATCCTTAGATTATTGGTTCATGGCACGGTGGTTCCTTGTTTATATTATGGATTCCTTCCTTAGTTATAAAGTCTCGTTTTGGGCGGTTTAGGCGCGATGAAACCATCGCGTCCCCTGATTCTTTATGCGCGATGGAGATATCACGTATTGTATGGGTCCTGTGTGTTTCGACCTTAATCTTTGGATTTTAGCCGTTGGTGGGCCTATTGTATTTTATCCAGATCAAAACTCAATTTTTGTGAAGAGTAATAATTTATGCACAATATGTTATTTCGTTTGTTATCTTCTAATTTATGTTGGGTCTATAAAGCCTACAGACCGACCTATATTATTTTAAAATAAATTAGTAAAATTATTATTTTAATAATTTTGAATAATAAAGTAATATTATTTTAGTTAGTTTTAATTATTGAATGTTTAATATGCTTAAACAAACCCAGGTCAAGGATTTTATATTTTAAATATAAGTCAGACCAGATTTGTAATTTCGGCCTACACAGGCTAATAGGCCAGACCATAGGTTTATCTATTTAAGTCAAAGCATAGCCTATTTACATCCCTAACAGTGAGGTCTTTTTGATTATGTTCTGATTTTTTTCTTCTTAAAATTATTTTGAAGAATACTTATGAAAACATGTGTTTTTCGTGTGTGTGTGTGTTTTTTTTTTTTAAAGTTAAAAGTTAAAACACAACAAAAATAATTCAGAAATGTTCTCTAAGGGGGTTGTATTGGATTAGGATTTTAAAAGACTATTTTGAGATAAAAAATCTTATAGATTTTGAAAGATTATTCAGAATTGGAGAGACTTTAAACACTTTTTTTAAAAAAAAAAATTACAATCAAGATTTCATAAGATTGAATTTTAAATAATTTTAATAAAATTTATAAGATTTGAAAGGATAATATGGATTTTTAAGATTTTAAAAAATCATATGAATTTTTAACAAACATTCAACTTTACAAAAGTCAATAAAAAAAGTCAACAAAGAAATGCAATCATATTAATAAAAAAAAGTAAAACGTAATATAATTTTCTCAATTAGTAAAATTCATGATAAATTTTCGTTTTAATTTTTCTGCAATTGATCTTATAAACCTTGGGGTTTTTGTTCTATGTGATGTGAGCATGTTTTCATTGAGTATTCAAGGAAAATTTCGAATCTGAATTTCTGGGTTTTATTACATGAAAGTTTAGAAAAAATTTCAAATTATTTTCAATCGATACATTGAAATCTTAAATTGCTTTGAGAGTTTTGAAAAACAAGTTTTTAGCTATCTATTGACACAAAAATTATTTGAAATCGTTTACTATAGCGAAGAAATTTCGTTCATGAATGTATTATTATGAAACATAGAGTTTATATTATGAAAGTTTCAATCTTTCTTTAAATCGATCTTGTTTCATTGATGTAAAATGAAAATTGTTTTGGGGGGTTTTTGTTCCCTTGTTGTTTTTCCACTATTTTATGTTATTTTTAATATAAAAATCACACATTTTCTTATCAAGAAAAATTATGACCAATAGTTTGAAAAATTATTTTTAAACTTTCAAAAATTTTAAAAAATTGCTTCAAAATTTTCTATTTTTAGATTAAAATCTTGCTGGGTTGTTGTTTCTGGGTTATTTTGTGATGAAAATCGCTCAAAAATTTGTTATCTGTGAGCTTTGACAAAGCTCCCATGGTGGAACTCGATTTCGAGCGGGTCGACCCACCAAAAGAAGAAGAAGACACTGCAATAGAGAAATCTCAAGAAACCCTAGGGGTTAGGATGAGATGGTAAGAGGGACATCCTATTTATATTTCTCACTAAAAAGCATCACGAACACCAATAAAAAATCTATTAAAATCTTAAGATTTTTGAATACCGCAAGATTGTTTTTCCTTTATTTAAAATCCTGATTGAATACCAACGGATTTGGACGGACTCTGAAATAATCTTTTAAAATCCTAATCGGATACCACATGACTTTTTTTCAATCCTTTAAAATCCTAATTGAATGCCAATGGATTTTTTTACTCAAAAATAATCTATTAAAATTCTTTGAAATCCCAATCCAATACACCTCCTAAATTTGATTCTAAAAACAAAAAACAGTTACAATTTTTTATTTTATTTTTACAAAATTGACCTTATTAAACGAGTTTTTTTGGTTCTGAAAATTAAAAATCTATTTTTTAGAAATAACATTCAAACATGGCCCAAAATTTTGGTTTCGGGCAGTCGCATTCATACATGGATACTCGAGTTTATAATAACTTTAGTACTTCATATTAATTTCGGCCAATAATTTGAAATCCCTTTTAATCATGCATGAAAATTGGCCTCAATCTATAAAATTATATATATGATGAGATTAGTGTGTCATATTTTAAGGATATAAATTGTGTCATTTTAGTTAAAATTAATGTGTTTATGGTGAGAGAAACATAAATTGTGGTGGGAGAAAGTGAGATTTTGTTAAATAAAAAATAGTTTTAACTAAAATGATTGTCCCTTTAAATGAACAAACATTTTTTTCTTATATGATAGGTGGAAATTGATGTCTTTCGAGTCATTTAATGAGAGATTTAGATAATTTGTATGAGATTATAAGTTCAAATTACATATAAACACACTTAATCTATACAAGCAAAATTGCGATCAGGTAACAACTGAAATTTAGAAAAATTAATCAATGGAGTTTTCTTAATTTTTTTTTCAAATTTAAAAAAAAATGGAATTTTTTTATTTACAAAAATAAAAAATAAACCTGGTATTTGAAAAATAATATAAGATTTAATTATGCATGGAAACGTATTCGCAATGCACCCATGATAATGGCGTGGTTTCCTCATCTAAGATAAACATGGTGTGGAATATTGGAGGAAGAACTGAAGAATTCTCTCCTTCCAGAGGAGTCCGTTAGGGAGACTCGTTGTCACCCAATCTCTTTGTTATGGCTATTGGAAAGCTCACACATATAGTCGTCAAAGGTAAGCTTTAGGACATGTTCAAAGGTATAAATCTTTTTGAAGAGGTCTCTGGTCAGAAGCTTAGTTCAGAAAAGAAGAGTGTTTTCTTCTTTGAGAATGTGAATGAATTAGAGGTAGACAATAAGATCATTCGGGTCAGCGGGTTTAGGAGTGTGAGAAATGTGGGAAGGTACTTAGGTTCCTTGACGCAACATGGTAAAGTTACAAGAAACCTATATGAAGGAGGGGTGGAGAAAGACAAGACTAAGCTTAACAGTTGGCAGCAGAAGTGTTTGTCTCGAGCAAGGTGCATTACCTTAATTAGCAGAATCAGGGATATCATTGTGATCCCCTTCTTTCAGATGCAAAGCTGCAAAGCTGCAAAGTCCCCATTCATGTATGTGAGGAAATAGAGAAGGTCTAAAGAAGCTTAATTTGTGGGATCGTGAAGGTAGAAGGATGCATCATCTGATCACCTTGGACACATCAACCTCCCCTAAAAATAATTGGGGACTACGGGTCAAGAAGTTGGGGGTTATAAATGATGCATTCCTTGCTAAACTGGCCTAGAAAAAGTACAATGAGGATGATAAGTTATAGGTCTGTGTATTGAAGGTCAAATATGAAACAAACAAATGTGGGGATGGCAGGCCCTTATAGAAGATTAAAGTGTTCATGTGGCAAGTCATTCATCAAAGAATCCTCACTAAAAGTCTGCTCAGTATGTAATTGTGAAAGGGAGGATATAATCCATGCTCTGATAAGGGACTGCCAGGTTGCTAGGGTGCTATGGATTAAGCTGGAGTTCTTTGGTACGGTATAGACACTAGGCAATGGCTGTAGAGTAATATTTGTAGCAACAAGACAAGGGTTTTGATTTTCTGAGGGAAATTTTTTATCATATTATAGACATATCTATTAAAAAAATAAAAAAGAAAAAAGAAAAAATTACACAAAAATCAAAGGGTCATTACTACGAAATGACAAAATGTTTTTCCAAAGACAAGGGTGTTTTTACTTTATTGCTTTTTCTTTTAAGAAATAAAAACCCCAAGGTTTTCAAGATAATTGCAAAAAATTTCAAATAAATTTTTATCATGAACTTTAGGTTCTATATGCAAATTTAGAATTATTTTAATAAATAAAAAAATTGAATCTTATAATCATATATACATAGCTTTGATACCAAATGAAAAAGATAATTTTCAACCCTATAGTCAAACCCAAGAGCATGAACAAGAAAATGCTAATGCTTCGAGAACTAGCATAACTTTAGATATGTGTAGAGTTGTTGCTTATTAATTTTGAATGTTTGTTAAAAATTATATTATGTTTTACTAATTGAGAAAATTATTTTAGATTTTACTTTTTTTTTATTAATATCATTGCATTTTTTTATTTTTTATTGACTCTGGTAATTTTGAATGTTTGTTAAAAATTCATATAATTTTTAAAATCTTATAAATTCATATTGTCTTTTCAAATCTTATATATTTTATTAAAATTCTTTAAAATCTAATTTTACGAAATCTTCGTCGTAAAAAATATATTTTAAAAAGTTCTTAAAGTTCCTTCAATTATAAGTAGTCTTTTAAAATTTATAAACAAATTTATCTCAATTTTTTTTTTAAATCCTAATTCAATACACCCGTAACTGTTTTAAACTTTATGAAACAGTAAAGCTAAATGATTCCAATGAGTTGGATTGAATTTTGAATCAGGGGACATTTTTTACAGTATAATAACAGTGTGTTTTATGAATATTTTAATAATTATGAGCCCAAGGAGAGAAGTGGGGTTAAATTCAGTGATGGTTTCGGTTTCTTCATTTCGGTTAACAAACACTCTTGAGTCTTGCCTTATCACCAAAACTCCACTTCACGCTTTTGGTTCACTCACTGGACAGTGGACACTGAGTCACTGAATCACACTTCCTCAGATACAAATCTCGATATATGCATTCATGTTCACTGTTGTCTTGCCTTACGGTTACAACTACACCTGTTTCCCGTTCAAATTGAACCGCTTAACTTCCCGAGCAGTGGTGGTTAGAGCGGCGGTTTCATCCCCGGAGAAGCGAACCAGAAAGAAGAAGCAGTCGTCGAAGGATGATGACCACCGTGCACTCGAGAATGGCCTCCGGTTCAGTTTCATGGAGGAGCTTATGGACCGGGCCAGGAACCGTGACTCGGCTGGCGTGTCCGAAGTCATCTACGACATGATTGCGGCTGGTCTCAGCCCTGGTCCGAGGTCGTTTCATGGTTTGGTAGTTTCTCACGCGCTCAACGGTGACGAACAAGCCGCGGTCGGTAACTACTTTCTGTATCAACGCAAAAAAAAGAAGAAAAAAACAGTTTATATATACGAATTGAATCAAGCTGATTTTAATTAATATTAAGCAGATGGATTCGCTTAGAAGAGAGTTGGGTGCAGGGCTTAGACCTGTTCATGAGACATTCGTGGCATTGGTAAGGTTATTTGGATCTAAAGGGCGTGCCGATAGAGGTCAAGAAATACTTGGGGCAATGGAAGAACTAAATTATGATATTCGCCAAGCTTGGTTGGTTCTTATCGGTATATTTATATTATTCATAGATACCCCTGGCTGGCACTTACTTATTGTTGTTTATTTTTGTTATGGTCAGCTACCTTATGATATATATATATATGTTTTCCTTTGGCAGAGGAACTTATTCGGAACAAGCATTTGGAAAATGCGAACCAAGTGTTCTTGATGGGGGCCAAAGGTGGCTTGAGAGCTACTGATGAGGTTTATGATATTCTAATTGAGCAAGATTGCAAAGCTGGGGACCATTCTAATGCCTTGGAAATTGCTTATGAGATGGAGGCAGCTGGCAGGATGGCAACCACTTTTCATTTCAATTGCCTCCTCAGTGTGCAGGTCACCTTCCTCAATCTAGTTTTTTTTCTCGCTGAAAATTATTTTATGCAATTTTAGGGTTTGGCTTCCTATCTCCTTAAAAATGGGGGGTGAAAACATACTGAAAACGCCTACCAAACAAATCCTTGCTTCATGGTTTGTGGTTCTCTTTGTGACTATAAAATCTCTGTTAAGGTAACTGATATGGAATATGACATATTGCTACTTCACTTTTACATGTTTCAGGCAAACAATGCTGAGTTTTTAAAGTTTTCAAATTTCAATTGGCTGTGGAAAAGCAATTTATGAGCTTGTTTGATCTTGGCGAGGCTGTTTGCTTTATGTTTGTCTAATATTACTTCCTTCGAATTAATTAGGCTACTTGTGGAATACCTGAAATACCTTTTACAACATTTGAGAACATGGAATATGGAGAAGGTTTGCACTCCAATTATCCTTTCTCTTCCCCTCTATTTCTTATAGTCTTGCTTGCGTCACATTCATCACTCATGTTTTCAACTCTTACGGTATTTTCTTCTTTTTTGATTCTTTGTTTTTGTGTGTTGTTTGGGGGGAGGGTACGCTTTTCTGAATTGTTAAAGCCTCTTTCTCCGTTATTAACTATGTGTAAGGTGAATTATCTTTAATTTGTTACGTAACAGATTATATGAAGCCTGATGCAGACACATACAATTGGGTTATTCAAGCATATACTAGAGCTGAGTCTTATGACAGGTTAGTCCGTTGCGTATGCATGGCATGTGAACAACTGTCATAAGGAAATACTTTGCCATGATAATCTTTGTTCTTAATGATTTAGAATTGTTCCTCAATCTGTGGCTCACAAAATATAAGGAAATTTGACGATTAGAAATGAAGAATATATTTGGCTAAGGCTTGCGATTTCCAGTTGCTTTATATATATCTCTTATTACATAAAATACTATTGGATCTTTCTATTCTCCCTTTTATATGTGTTGATTTCTTCACAGTCCACATTTTGAGTTTGTCTTTGACTCCTCTCATTCCTGTTACTTCTTTCAGTTTGATTTAAATAGTTGTGAGGTCTCCCACTGGATTTCTTAAATTGAATATTCCCTGGATATAGTCATATTTGTTTTTATGTGTTCCAATCAAACTTGTTTCTTTGTGGCTTATAGAGTACAAGATGTTGCTGAGTTACTTGGCATGATGGTTGAAGATCACAAGCGCATACAGCCAAATGTGAAGACCCATGCGTAAGCCACATTATCTTTATTTTTCTTTTACATACTTGACAATTGTAGCATATCGGATGTCAAATTATATGAGTTTACTTGTCAATAATTTAGCCTTTTTTCTTCCTTTAAATAAATAACATCGTTATAATGAGCTGAAGTTTGCAGCAAGACCTGTCACCAAAAAGCAGATTGCTAGGAAGAAGCTTTAATATGTGTCTGTGTGTGTGTACAACTTGGGGGAGGATGAGGTTCCTCCTATACCAGAAAATAAAAAAGAAACCAGTGATCAATGAGGCTAAGAAATGCTACAAAGCTGTTAGCATATCAGTTATAAAATTTCCCTTAAAACAACAATGCTCACAGCACCCTAGAGAAGCCCTAAGAATGAATCTTAGCACAATATTGTATGGGCTAAGAGAGCCCTTGAAAATATGGGCATTCCTGTCCAACCAAATACACCAGAGAGCTACAAAAACTGCTCACTGCCTGTCTGCCACTACATCACAGAACCCTTATTCTTGGCCAAAAATAATAAAATAAAATCAGAAGTTTAAATTCAGAAGGTCAGAAGTCATTTGGAATCCTGGTTTAATATAATAGATTTTAGTGATACTGCCTACTAAAAGGAGTTTACTTTGCAGTAATGACTAAGCAATCTCCACTCACCCATATGCTGACTCTTTTGGTGCTTTTTTATGCCATTTTTTAGTTTGAAGCTTTCCCTCTATTTTCTGAAGGATCCTTGAGTTATCAGGTAAAACGAGTAATGACTTGTAGTTTTTGGGGACCAGATAGACACTTATTAAGCTGGTTTATTTAAATCAAAAATTATTTTGTATTGGTGACAGATTTGGTAATATATGACCATGACATGTCCTCTTGATCTTATTGCCCCCATACTTTCTCTGCAGGCTGTTAGTGGAGTGTTTTACCAAGTATTGTGTAGTACGAGAAGCTATTAGGCATTTCCTTGCCCTTACAAAATTTGAGGGCGGTATAAAAGTTCTACATAATGAAGGGAATTATGGAGATCCACTTTCTTTGTACCTTCGGGCTTTATGTCGGGAAGGTATGCTTATACTGGTTATGTATTTTTGGTTTTCTCATTCTTGGATATGTTGTCTTTATTCTTAAAGAATTTAAAATTTCATTCAATCTTCTGCATGTAATGTTAGGAGATTAGAGACATGCATTCTAGAGTTGTAATGAAATTTCAGCTCGGATAAGAATTTTCAGGGTCTAAGTTATGGGTAATCTGCCATGCCATTGCATGTAGAAGATCTGGTTCCATAAGATATTATCATTTTCTGAGAAGTTTTTGTTTATATTTTGTTGGCCTTGTGAGACCAGTAACTTTGTAACTAAATATAATCATCATGGTAAAAAAAAAAAAAATTGTCTATGGAGTTCAATGTATGGTGTCCTAAATTGTTCATAGAAATTTATGACCAAAATTGTCTTAGAATGCTTTGCCTCAGCCTTGTAACCATTTTTAAATTCAGGAAGGATTGTTGAAATGCTTGAAGCCTTAGAAGCTATGGCCAAAGAAAACCATCCAATTCCCCCACGAGCAATGATCTTGAGCAGAAAATACCGAACATTAGTGAGCTCATGGATTGAACCTTTACAAGAGGAGGCTGAACTTGGCTATGAGGTTGATTACATTGCTAGGTATTGTTTCTATTTCAGCAATTATTGCTATTTTGTTTTTTGTTGTTGTTATTATTATTTATTTTTATTATTATTATTTGGTCTGAGTCATTTATTTATTCATGTTTGCGTGTATTTTATTGTTTATTCTTGGCTAGGGCACTAAATCCCTAATCGAAATTATTATAATCAAATGTGACTTGTCTTCTTCTCTCCTAATTGTTTTTATGCTGTACAAGAGTAGAATGGATACCAAATGCATGTTGTTTTGCCTCTTGATGGTAAATTGTGTTTCTGTGGCTTTCATGTTTGTTTGCAGCCCAATCTGTCCACCAGAGGTAACTTTAATATTCTTAAATCCCTGTAGTACCCAATATTGGCAAAATATGTGATAAGTTTTGAATTAACAGTGAAAAATAGATGGAGAAAACAACTAGGAGCAAGCTTTGATTACAGTATTATGAACTGGAATGTAGAAACAATATGAAAGTAGGATGGAAAAACAGAGAATATCAGAGAATTTATGCCCTATGGCTACAGCCACCCAATTTATGATGTGACACCCCCTGCACCACCCTCTATTCCCTTCATATTTATTTTCCCTTCCATGTTGCAGCATCATCTTCACCATTTTCCTGCTGCCACGTATCCATGTTGTTTTAGCCACCTTTCTCTTGCATAACAACCTCCTCCACTTTACTTGCCAGCTCATTCCCCATTCTACCCCTTCTTTCTAGATATACATGAATTCCAGGCTGAGGCCCATCATTAGGCAAACCAAAATCTAAGTATTGGCTTTAACAAGCTTCTTTAATTTTTTTGTTATAAAATTTTCTAGCTTTTCTTTTTGAACTCCTTTCTTTCTATTTAATGCAGGCATGTGCTAGCACTGATACACTATATGTTAGTCAATGGGCTTAATGACCTAATGCATATTATTATATTGATTTATTTTTGTTAATGTGTTGATTGCTAATTTGCTATTATTTGAAACAGATATATTACGGAGGGTGGCCTTACTGGAGAGCGCAAACGTTGGGTGCCTAGAAGAGGTAAAACACCTCTAGATCCCGATGTTGATGGATTTATATATTCAAACCCAATGGAGATCTCCTTCAAACAAAGATGCCTTGAGGAGTTGAAGTTGCACAATAAAAAGCTTCTGAGGACCTTGCAGAATGAAGGACTTTCAGCTTTAGGGGATGGTGTATCTGAATCTGATTATATTAGAGTGCAGGAGAGGCTAAAGAAAATCATAAAGGGGCCTGATCAGAATGTTTTAAAGCCTAAGGCTGCTAGTAAAATGCTTGTGTCTGAATTGAAGGAAGAACTAGAAGCCCAAGGTTTACCTACTGATGGAACTAGAAATGTTCTTTACCAGCGTGTACAGAAAGCAAGGAGAATAAATCGATCTCGTGGTCGGCCTCTTTGGGTTCCTCCCATTGAAGAGGAGGAAGAAGAGGTTGATTCTTCATCTGTTTTATTAAATGCATTTTTCTTTTCTCCCCCATCTTGATCTTTAACGTATAATGCCTAAACTTAAATGTGATTCATGTTCCAGGTGGATGAAGAGCTGGATACATTAATTTCACGTATACAGCTGCAGGAAGGAAATACAGAGTTCTGGAAACGTCGCTTCTTAGGAGAAGGCTTGAGTAGTGATCATGGAAAGCAAATGGATGCTGGTAAATCAGAGTCCCCTGAAGTTCCAGATGATGTTGACGCTGTAGAAGATGCTGCAAAAGAGGTTGAAGATGATGATGTAGATGAAGATGATGATGATGAGGAAGCAGATGCAGAACCGGCAGAAGAGGAAGTAGAATCAGCAGAGAACCAAGATGTAGAAAGGGTAAAGGACAAGGAAGTTGAAGATAAAAAGCCCCTTCAAATGATTGGAGTCCAGTTGTTGAAAGATTCTGACCAACCTACTTCCAGATCTAAAAAATCTAGAAGAAAAGCTCGATTGCAGGTTCAGGTATGATAATCCCTTAAGGTTCTTCTTTTCCTTTGTAAGTTGGGGGTAGGGTCGGTGAGGTTCTACAACCTGTTGAGATTATTTGGCAGGACTTTTTTCGTACAAAAGATCCAAAAGTCTTGGGATGTAACAACTAACAAGAGAAAACTGATATATAAGCCTGAGATTTTGGGTGGGTGATCATTCATGAGAGGCTGAGTGCAAAGTGTAGAACTTGAGCCTGCATTTACTGTTAATGTTACATTCTTTGTTGAAGTGTTGCATTATGATGTTATTTGAGGATCTAATGTTGCTTCCTTACAGAACGATGATGACGATGATTGGTTTCCTCTGGACCTATTTGAGGCATTTAAGGAAATGAGGAAGCGGAAAGTGTTTGATGTATCAGACATGTATACCTTAGCAGATGCTTGGGGATGGACATGGGAGAGAGAACTGATGAACAAACCTCCTCGAAAGTGGTCACAGGAATGGGAAGTTGAGTTGGCAATCAAAGTTATTCAAAAGGCAAGCAACTAAACCTTCACTATTTTAACTTTTATTTTATTTTTATTTTTATTATATGCAAGCTTGCTTCTTGTTGAAATGGTGAAATGACTTGGTTTCTCGTAGACATAGATCAGAATTACTGCCTCTTCATGTGTACAAAATGAAAACTATCCTTTATATCTCTCCGGTTGAGAGTAAATATAGATTCCAAAATGGTGTAGAATGGCATTAAATATTTTTATTTTGAGTGTTAATTGTCGTGTATTTATGATTGACATACATTTATATCAAGACATCTATTGTCATACAGGGAAAAATATACAATGTTTCTGATGCCACAATAAAATTAATATTCCTCAGCATTTACCAATTACTATGCTGGAACCTTTAACAATTTTTTTTTACACCTTTGGATTTAGTAATGTCATTTGGCATCAGTTAGTTCTACTTATAAAGCCTTTTTTGGTCTTTTTAAGGGATAATCAAATAAATTTTGGGGCTTTTTTTTGTGTATATTTGTTCAGCAGTCTTCTTTCTTTCTTGGATGTGGTTGGTATCCTTTCCTCTTGTATCTTCTCTCCTTTCTATTAGTATATGGTATTATAAATACTCCGAGTGACGATAAAAGGCAAAAAGGCAAATCCCGATGCTCAAGGTTCCTTGACTTTGCATGGGTAGGGGCAAGGGTCGATTGTATGCAGTTTTATCCTTACATTTTTGTGAAAAGGCTGTTTTTCAGACTCAAACTTGTGATCTTCCGGTTACAAAGGAGCATTTTTACTGCTGCTCCCAACTCGCCCTCAAATACTCCGAGTGGTGATTTTTATTTATTTATTGTTTGCATTAAAGAAGAAGAAAAAAAGACTACATTGATGTCTACCTATCTGCTTGTAGATTTCTGTTCAATCATAGTGTAATATTACATTCAAATTTGAAATTTGGCTTATTCACCATCCTTGTAAATATTGCTGAGACTTCCATTAGTATTTTTAAAAGGTCCCTCTAATTTTTGGAGCTAACGCATTCAATAAATTGTTAATTAGCAAGCTAATTTGGTCTTCTTGGCTGTAGTTAACCTAAAAGCAATCTTTTTCAGTAATAAGCTCTACATTGCTGATTGAGATTTTGGGCTGTGCTGCACAGGTCATAGAATTGGGAGGGTCACCGACTATAGGAGATTGTGCCACGATCTTGCGTGCAGCTATAAGGGCACCTCTACCTTCAGCTTTCTTGACAATTTTGCAGACAACTCATGGCCTTGGTTATAAGTTTGGGAGGTAACTCTAGTTTCTTTTAAAACAAGAATCTTGTAATTCCAGATTGGATTACCCAATCCAGCCAACAAAACTCTAGTCATGTTATGTGCTTCTCTGAAGCGTTTTTGACCGGAAAAAGAAAAGCTAAAACATCTAATATTTCCCCCGGGAGTGATAAAGGAGTATGTAAAACCCGAGGTTAAAAATGTATCATTTTTGTTCCCTTCCATTTTCCTCCTGCATATGAAAATGGCCATAGTACATGTAACATAATATTCTTCAAATTCATTTGAGTTTCCCGTTCTGCTTTAATCTGTGCAAGTTGGCTATTTTACATTTCAAGAAACTCTTTCTTTTCCATCTTGTGGTTTTAAGATTTTAAGGGTGGGACTGGATAATTAATAATCATGGTTCCTATGGAGCTAAAGCATAATGGACCTTGGGTACGCTTGAAATGCACTTGTGTTATTTTTTATTGAATGAGTTAGGGCCCACATAATTCCACATTGCATATCAAATCCTTTTCAACTCACTGTATCCTTTTTCTCCTCTACATTGCAGACCACTTTATGAAGAGATCATCTCTCTCTGCCTTGATCTTGGGGAATTAGATGCGGCTGTTGCTGTAGTTGCAGACTTGGAGACAATGGGGATCTTGGTTTCAGATGAGACTCTGGATGGGGTGATTTCTGCCAAACAAAGGATTGACAATACTTCCAACGGTGACATTATAGATGTTTGACTGTAAAACTATACCTTCATGTTGTTCTGTTTTGCACCGGAAGAGCTAGCGGTTGTGACTTAATATATCATCGTTGCACTATTGTGCAAATTTTTGAGATGAGCCTAATGTATAGTATCAGGCCTTGAATTATTATTAAGTTTGTAGAATTGTCGTACTGTTTGTTCTCCTCTCCCTAGTCTTTAGGTATTCTTTTACTCCAATCCACCACAATCTATATTACAAAAGCTTGCTTGCGAGTTTCTTAGATTTAAAACAACTAAGGTAATGGATTTAATGTTTTGAACAGGGTGGTCTAAAATTGAAGCGACTGAAGGCCCCCACTGTTGCAGCGACAATGCTTTTTCGTTCTTTTAACACGAAATCAATGCTGTATACCGACCAATAACTCGGGATTTCGTGGTGGATAATTATGCGATGTTAATACCTGATCCACTTCATTGGCTGATTAGTAGCTTTCGTGTTACATATTCAAAAATTTCTTGATAACATTTATTAAAGAAACTAGTGGTTAGAAAAATATAAAACCATTGAGGAACCTTTATTTACAAGTTTGAGTTGTTAGGTTGAATTGATTTTTTATATAGTATTAGGGCTTTAGTAATGATGAAATTTGAACATTTAGATGAGATGTTAGAACTTTTTTTTTTCTAGTAGGCAGAACTTTTATGAGATGATTTTAATACACTCTCTCAAGCCATATCTTAACATATATTACACATATACTCATCAAGTAATAGTTAACATATTCATTCCTCAGTCATAACTTTTTATCATTTTCTCAATCTCTGTCTTTACTTCCTCTTAAATCTGCTCGATACCTTAGACCCCGAAATTTATAACTGTATTGTTCTCTTGTCAAGCATTGCTAAGTGGCAGATCAAAATCGTCAGCCTTGTCAATCATGTAGGAATATCTTTACATGCTTCGGTGTGAAAAAAGAAGAGGTGACTTAACTATGCTCTCTGCCACTCTTGATGGGTACCCTCAATTATCGAATTTGGAACAGTGGTTCATGCGTCCCACTCAGGCATACTGGATCACCCGTTACAAACGCAAACAGTTTTTGCTTGTACTGTTTTTCACCTTTCTTCCACCTCCTCAACGTGATTGTACAGCACAGCAGCCACTAACAAACAGGTACACTCATAATTCTTCTTGCTGAAAGTATACTCAGTTTCTGTATTGACTTTCTTTTTGTATGCGTTAGTTGACAAGTCAGTAACCTTTGGCATGAGCGGCTAATGATTGTACATGTTTTGTTATTTGATTATAACGTTTAATCAAAATTCTTATACTTTGAAAAGATTTATGTCATGTGACCTATTAACTTGATTTCAATATTCTACTAATGTTCCATTTAAATTACATGAAGGTACCCGAACGTACCTCATATGAAGGAAGTGGAGTCAATATAGGCTCGTAAATGTGACATATCGCAAGAAGGTACTAGTTTTAACTAGAAAATCAGCTGAACTTTAATGTCCCCCCCCCCCCCCCAAAAAAAAAATAAAATAAATATAATTTGATTGTTTTTAGGTTTAATCAAATGATAATGCAATCGTAGGGCTAAAAGTATACTTTATGTCAATTTATCCCTTGATTGGAATGATGGCAATTGATTGAGTGCTTTTTTGACCTATTTGATTCTTAAATTAAAATGCTTGACCTATCTAATCTTATGGTCAAACTATTTGCCATCCTAATGCAGGGCAACACGGTGTGTCAGCTACCGGTTTGGGACGCTGCAGAAAAATCAACGTTTATCAAAACGTCATCATGAATAACGTGTTCAGTTTGCAAAGAACACGTCAGTATTAGTAACGTTTTCATTCTCCTCAAAACGCCAGAAGACATACCGTGTTTGATGATGTCAAATTTTTGTGCTTTTTTCCTTCTGAAAACGTCACAACAGGTGCCGTTTCTATTGGATTTGACAACAAGAAAACGAGACTGTTGAAGACGACTCTTAAAACGGTAGGCACAACACCGTTTTCCAAACAAGACAAGGTCGTCCCCTCACATCTGAACGCGGTAGTCATTGCACCATTTATAGTAAACGGTAGCTTGCCCAGCGTGTTCCAAGTAGGACAAGTCTCTCCACTGACACCTGAACGCGTCAGTCAGTGCACCACTTTCAGTAAACTATAGCTCACCCAGCGTTTTGTATAGAGGACAAGCCCTTCTACGGATATCTGAAATTGGTACCTGGCATAACGTGTTTGTAATCAGATTCCTTTTCCACACAAGACAACGCACATTTCGCAACCGTACTTTATTTTTGTAAAATTTTATGGCTTTTATGTAGCTATATATATACTCGTATTGTTTAGTTAATGTCACTTGTGCTTCTCTCCCTTGTGCTCCTCTTCCTTGTGTTCCTCTCTCACATAAAATTGGCTGGGGTGTTGTCATGTGGTTTAGTGTCATAATATGTTGAATTATTTTTGTTTTCAGAGTATCTTACTCTTCTTATAATTTTACATCGTGTTTTTTGTTCGTTAATTTGTTTTATCCGTGTCATTATTTTATTTCATCCCTTTTTACAAATTTTGTTTACCAAATTGCAAAAAAAAAAAAAAATGAGTTCAAATTTACAAACGGTTCGTGCACTTGTCTACTATATGTAGGAAATCTTAGATTTATGCGGAAGCGGTTTAGGACCTAGTACATTGGTATGCTTACCGAATCATCCTTGTTTCACAATTACCTCTCGGTGCGCAAGTCTCGTGTAGAATCTTCCCTTGTAGGATTCCTCCTCACGAACAGCTCACCTCAGCGCCGCAACACGAACAACCTCCTTGAAGCTGGACTGTGGCAGATCTTCCAAACTATCTCTCGAGGAGGAAGGGGAAGTGTGTGGGCACTGATTAGATTCTGAGCTTGCCTCTTTCTCACAAAAAAGACCTTTTAGGCTGATGACTTAAGAGGTACTATTTATATGGGTTCCAAGAAACCCTAGCTCATTGAGCTCTAGGTTCCTTGGGCTCTTCTCATACTAATAACCCATTTGGGCTTTAGTAAAAGAGCAAACCCAACAATCTCCCACTTGCTCTTTTGGATACAAACTTGAGTCGTAAAACCCAAGATCATGTAACCCATAAGTTATCATCTATCCGAAAAATACCCCATCCCTTGTCTCAAGCTAGCTTGGGGATCTACCATCTGTTATTAATCAAGGCTCCTGATAATCAACGAATGATTATCTAATTCGGTGCTACTCCACTAAAAGCCCGAAATTGAACTCCAAGATTAACAACACTTATAACATGAATATGCATCGCCCCTTTGTAGAATGTCTATAATTGATTGACAAGTTTTCTGTAACTCAATCAATTATTTATTCCCTTGACTATGATAGTTTCTCTGATGGATTACATGCACTGGCCAGTGTCTTTAATATCCAAGTACCGAAACATATCAAGGGGACATATCCTACAAATTCCATGTTGTTTATCTCATAAATACCGATAATCAAATAATCTCACTCCCAAAATACCGAGTTATTGGTCGTCAATAGATCGAACCTCACCCGTTGGTAAATCAAAGAATGAAAACTATTTGATTACCTATTTATAATAAACTCAGGATTAAGAGCAATCACATAACTATAGTTAACTGGAGATTTGATACCTTATGACAGAAAAACAACCTTAATCAAATCTCTCCTTGATCCTTTCAATGTGAATGTTAATTCACACCAATATTTTACAATGATTCGGACAAAATCATTTCATAAAATATTGCAGCCTGAATAAAGTGCCCAACTTTATTTAACGGTTGTGACTCCATTCATCAATTGTGAGAACCTATGATCATGTCCTCCATGAACGTATCCATATGATCATATACTCCACAATTTGACCTGGACCTTTATGTTTGTAAATAGTGCACAAAATAAATAAATAAAACCTTATTTATGAAATTCAGAAAATGATTTTATTGTTTCATCGTCTTATTCCAAGAGCACAATAAAACCAATAACTCCCACTTGCTTAATGCAAGTCTGGGATCCTCCTAAGACCCAAAGAAGTAACATGCCTCTCGAACACAAGTTCAGGCAAACTCTTAGTAACTGGGTCTGCAAGATCCACCTCTAATGCTATCTGAGTTTAGTGAAAAACTCATAGCTCGAGGTTGATTTTCTTGAGTTAGTATCCACTTGAAATAACTGAATTTTTGAAAACTCAGCTTTTCAAGACTCCCACTAGAATATACCAGCATATAATCTCTCGTTCTCCAAAGATACTTGAGTACATGCTTAACAATAATCTAGTATTCCTCTAGGTTCAAAATGGTACTATCTCACTACTCCCACTACGTGACAGATGTCTGGTTTAACGCCCAACATGATATGCGTGAGTCTACCTTTGCCAAAACATAAGATATCTTGCTCATGCATTCTTCCTTCTTAGAAGTCTTTGGTCACTCCTTAGGAAGATGAATTCCACATCTGAGAATTATAATTCTTCTCTTAGAATTCTCATGTTGAATTTTGGGTTTTGTCAATGTAAGTAGCCTGAGGTGATGCCAACAACTTATTCTTCCGGTCTCATAAGAGTTTTATACCAAGAATATAATTGGCTTCCCCAGTACTTCCATACCAAAACACTAACTTAGCCAACTCTTTATGCTTGATATTACCTCCACATTGTTTCTAATAAGGAGCATATCATCTACATAAAGTACCAGAAAAGCTACTGTCTTCCGTTGTATCCTTTACATACAAATACACATCATTCATCAAGGTTCTCTCAAAATCAAAATTTTGATAACCTGATCAAAACTGATGTTTCAAGACCTGGATGCTTGCTTAAGTCTATGAAATAGACTTTCACAACTTGCATACCGTGTGTTCCTACTCATTTGCTATAAACCATTTTGGTTGTTGTATGTAGATATCCTGACATCCAACTCCCAATATGAAATCTCATAATTGAGACTTATAGCAACTAAGAGAATCTGGATAGACTCAAGCATGGCGTCTGGCAAAAAATGCCTCCAAGCTAGCTTTGAAGGTTTTCACCTTTCTGTCCATCCTCTCTTTGTCTTTTATGTCCACATGCACCTTGTGGGTTTTACCCCTCTTGGTGTCTTTACTAGAACCGAACGGAGTTGAAATACAAGTATTTCATCTCATTGTTCATAGCCTGAGTAACACTTGATCAACAACATATTCTAGTGCATTATCGTAACTAGTAGGATCAATGTCACTCAACAAGAAACAACTTGAGAGTTAACAAGGTTCTCTCCCACTATGAATGTACTGCACTAGACCTTGTGTATTTATAGGTAAAACAAAGAGTGGGTCAAATGATAGATCTTCAATTTCTTGAGGATCCGGTTATCCTTGATATTGTTTCTTTACATGTGATACTAATATTTCTACTAGTTTGACTTATATATTATCATGTTAAATTTCCAATCATGGTTCTCTTGTTTGTTCACTTAGAGATATATCTATCCCCTCTTGAACAATCAAGGGAACAGTGGATGAAGCTTCTACAGATTCTGAAAATTATTGATCTGAGATAAATCTCATCAAGAATAACCTAACTTAAGAGCTTATAATTTCTTATCTAGTCCTCCTTTAAGAAAATCATGTGAGTGCTCACTTAGATTATCTTGTCCTTAAGACTAAATAAGAAATCATCCCTAGTTCTCTTAAGGTAGCCAAAAAATATGCACTCTTCCATACAAGATTCCATCTCATTTGACTGTTGTTGTAGGACGTGTGCCGTAGCATCCTAAATCCGAATATGGTTTGATATGGGCTTGCACCCTTTCCATAATTCTTTATGTGTCTTTACAACAAACTTTGACGGAATCAAGTTAAGAAGGTACATTTCCTTCTCTTAGGCATCTCCCTTGAACAACATTGACAAAGATGAATAACTGAACATGATCTTCACCAAGTCTAGAAATGTTTGATTTTCACATACTGCAACTTCATTCAACTAACACGTTCTTAGAGTTGACAGTTACGAAAACTATCCCCTCTTAAATCAGGTAAGACCTGAACTTACCAGAGAGGTAGCCAACACTTTAGTCAGACCGAAGTGTTTTTGATTTGAACACCTACATGCTTTTCTGCCTCAGACTTAAACCTCTTGGAAATTTCCAAAAGCTTTAGACTTGTAGCGCACTTGGTTCATCTGTCCAAATCCAGAATAAACATTCATATAATGAAGTACTCATCACCTCTTCTGGTCTGAACGCTAAGTGGTCCACATACTTTAGTATGTACCAGTTCCAGTTGAATAGTTGCGCAAACCTTTTTGGTCCTTGTAGGATTGCTTGGCCACTTTACCTTCCAAATAGGACTAACATGTAGCTGTTAGTTAAGAGATTCTTAAACTTTCAGTCCCTCTTTTAACTAAAACATGTTTCCTACTTGAGATAATGTGACTCAATCACAAAGACCAAAGTTATGTTTCATTTGAAACTTTTATTTCTTTGGTGAAAATCCTTTTTCATTCAACATAACAAATTTAAAAAGGGTATAGGACATAGGTAATAAAGACTATTTAAACAATGTACCAGAACAAACAAGACGAAGATGAACTTCGAAATGTAACTGAGGAATCAATTGCATTGTCAACCCATGTTTTAACCAAAACAACTAACAAAAATTGAATTCCTCTTGAAATCTGGAACAAATAAACATTCACCCAAAACCATAGTCTTATAAATAACTTGTCCTACTGCAAATGCAGACACAAGTTCCCATTTTCAAGCTTAAAATATCTATGTCCATATCTGACAGGCATGCCATGTTTGAACTACTACAAAGAGTAACAAACATAATCAGTGATTCCTGAATCAATAATTCATTCACTGATCAGGCCTTGATATGCCCATGTCAGGTTCTTTTCATCTCCTCTGGGCAATTTTTCTTTTAGTCTGCACTTGAAGAACTTGCCTTGCGGCTTCTTCATAGCAACTGGTTTGACAACTGATAACCAAGTCATTTTGTTCTTGTTACCACCCTTGGGTTTCCCTTTGGATTTAACAAGACTCTTAGCAAAACCTGCACCGACTGCATTCTGTCTAGCAGAGCTGCTAGACGCAGCTAACATGTCATTAAGAGTCTGAAGCATTTCTACTCCACTCTTAATCATGTACACTTGCTTCTGCAAGTATTTGGAAAGACTGACAATAATATAGCAGCGAACTACCATATCTGCCCTTTCCCAATATGAGAAATGCATCTTAGTTTCCTTAGACGCATTCTCTGCAGGTTGCTATGGCCCTCGCATTGTCAGGACAAATTTTAGCTTCCATGTTTTAGAATAATATCAAAAATTTGCTTTTCACTTATTCATAGTTGGTACCATCTAGAGGTTTTCGACTCAAAATCATTTCTAAGATATTTTCTGAAAAACATATAAAGCACACAATTACAAACAAATAATGCAATAA